ACACGACCGAAATGACTGGGCACGTAGGCTAGGGTGGGTGAAGGAAAGGCCACAACGTGGGTGAAGACAGCCTGCAGTGGACTTGGGGCTCGCAATATCATAGGACTACAGGGAGCCGGAGGGAAGGGCCAGTAAGTCCAGCTGGGGTGGGGTGAAAGGTTTTGCCTAAGGACAGCCAGGCAGTGGGGACCAAGGAAGAGATTCTGACTCCTGACTCCTTCTCTGCAAACAAGGGTATTTTAGATATGTACCAAGGAAGTCAAGTATTTAAAGATAACCGTGGGGAGAGGGAATCTACCCTTAAAATGCAAAATTATTTCATAAACCAAGTTTTTAAATGCCAAACAAATATAACAGTAAGGTTAAGTGTATAATGAGGCACCCAGAAATTCAAATAATATTTGTGTACAAGATAACCAGTCTCAGAGATGGATTCAGGTAGCTACTGATGGTGTTTTATGTGCCCCTAGGTTTTAACTTTTGAAAAGTTGTTTTTCTTTCTAAGCATCTGATTCTTTGTCTCTCCAGGACTGCCAGTTTGTGGTTTAGTTGATGATGAGGATTCTAACATAATCCACAACCATTTTTAATCTCCCATCCCCTTCTTTAGCCCACAGCTGTGGTCCCTCCTCTGTGAATTCTAGGGGAGGTAATGCACCTCCATCACCTTGACCTAGGGCAACCTTTCTATATACTCAGAAGATTAGGAGAAGCAAATAGAAACATAGAAGGCAAGGTTTCTGACCTTGAGATGACAAAATTACGAGGGTCAGTTGTTCGATGTCTCCCCCAAAACACATCTTTTTAAATTGAAGTATAATTGATATGTAATATTATAAATATATATATATAAAGCATACAGTGTAGTGATTCACAGTTTTTAAAGGTTGTGCTCCATTTATAGCTATGATAAGATACTGACTATATTTCCAGTATTGTACAATATATCCTTGCAGCATGTTTTAGACACAATAGTTTGTCCCTCTTAATCCCCTGTTCCTATGCTGCCCCTCCCCGTTCCCTCTCCCCACCTGAAACCACTGCTTTGTTCTCTATATCTGTGAGTCTGTTTCTTTTTTGTATTCTTCAGTTGTTTGTTGTATATTCTAGATTCCACATGTAAGAGATATCATACGGTATTTGTCTTACTCTGTCTGACTTGTTTCACTTAACAGAATACCCTCCATGTCCATCCATGTTATTGCAAATGGCAAAATTTCATTCTGTTGTGACTGAGTAGTATAACATTGTCTGTATGTGTATTTTGTTGCTTAGTCGCTAAATCATGTCTGATTATTTTGGGACGCTGTGGACTGTAGCGCCTCTGTCTATGGATCTCCCAGGCAAGAATACTGGAGTGCGTTGCCATTTCCTTCTCCAATGTGTGTGTCTGTAGTGGTTCTTTATCACTAGTGCCACCTGGGAAGCCCACATGTACATACATAAACCCCACATGTTTCCCCAGGGGTTCAGAGGTAAGGAATCTGTCTGCAATGCAGGAAATTCGGGTTTGATCCCTGGGTTGGGAAGATCCACTGGAGGAGGGCATGGCAACCCATTCCAGTACTCTTGCCTGGAGAATTCCATGGACAGAGGATCCTGGCAGGAGCCATTATATAAGATATCCACTCCTGAAGAATAGATGGCATATTATTTAGTGGGGTCAGGAAAAGAAACAGAGGTCCCAGGAGCTCCTTCTCAGCTATTTCCCCATCCTGTGAGGCCCAGAGCACACTCAGGATGAGGTTGTGTTGCCTGCAGCCGATGTCCCCACTCTTGGGGACACCCCAGCCTTGAGGAGCTGGCTGCAGTGCTTTCACAGAGGAGCAGTAGGAGCAGACAGCAAGTCTGAGGCCCACCTCTTTTCACATGCCCAGCTTCATTCTACTCAACACACTTAGAGCAAGGGTCTGATCAGAGAGAAGAGATACTGCAGATTTTAGAAAACGGAATATAAAAAAAGCAATCCATGTGTGGCCTGACAAAGGGTCACACATGTCTTTTTTATGATGCTTCTTCCCTTCTATCATCTTTTTCCTAGAGGGGCTGGGGAAGGACTGGTCTGTCCATAACCAGGACCATGGATGTGTCCTTGGCTGGCTCTGTGGGGCCACAGGCAGAGCCTTGGGACTCCGTCTGGAGAGTCTTGCAGAAAGACAGCTGCTAGTGCTTCTACACCCTGGGGAGAGAAGGAATCAGAGAACAGCTTCATCTTCCCCTCTGAGCCAGCCTCTTGGATTCTCAGCAGGGCGGGGCCTAATCTAGCACACCTTGTTTAAGGGTACCCATCCATGCATAGGCAGGGACTCACACAGGCCCTGGGAGAGTGTGGCCGGGTGGGCCTTCCTCCACCATCACTGACAGTACTTGGCTTCCAGCCTCTCTGGACACTTCCTGGGACCACCCACAATTCCCCTTCATCCTCACTCAAGTTTGTTTTTCTACTTGGATTAGTCTAAGAGTAAACGCCATAGGCCTTCTGGCCCTCCAAGGGGAGAAAAAAATTCTGTGTAAAGTGAAAATTAGACTCTTAAATCTGCAAAGAAAGCTGTTTATCTTACAAATTTATTCTTTTTATTGGGCCACACATATCCAAGATAGAAAGATAAAAGGAAAACAGATACAGGCCATCACTTAGAGTGACATATAGTGGGACGCAGCTCATCCTCACCTTCCGTAAAGCCTGTGGGAGCGCATGGTGGCGGCCTTATCTGTCTATTTATCTATAGCATGCGCTGGGCCAGGGCTCACCAAAAGCTGCAGTGGAAATGCATTCCCCCTACTCTCTATTCTCCTTTGTTGGACTGCTCCCCAGAGGCTCCAATGGAGGAGGGTCTAGGGGAGGTGCTCAACTGCTGATAGTGGGACACGGGGATGGGCAGGGATGCAGCATCAAAAGCCCACACCTGCCTCCTCCGGTCCTGAAGTCAACACTTAGTTCTGGTCATCATTCAAGTGATGGCTCCTGACATCTTAACTTAAATAGGATGTCTTAACCCCATTGCAGGGAGCACTTGGGCAGAATTTTAATTAGGCTCATTGTTATTTTAAGCTGACCTCATGATCACACAAAAGACAAGCTGAGTTACGCTGGGAGAGCAACTGCAACAGGTTTGGTATTGGGGTGGCTGTGTGGGTATGGCGAGATGAATGAGTTGGCCTCCCAGTTGTTTATAATACCTAGGATGTGGTTGACTTGAAATGGGCATCTGGTGTCTGGCCATTTTCCTCCTGGACTGTTGGCAAACTGGTTCTTTAACACAGAGTTGGCGGCATTCCTCATGGATGTGACCTGTGGACGTGGGACGGGCTGCTATGACTGCATGTGGGGCATTTGTCTGCCATGATCTTGAGAGCCTCCTTTGTGCCTTTCTCTGGAAGTCTTATCAGTAGCTATCTCTGGAAGTCTTTCCACAGTCTTGTGGACAAACCACAAAGCTAGTGGTAGGTCAGGTGGGCTCTAGATGTGGATGAACCGAGTCCTCCTACCCATGTAAAATTTTGAGGAAAAAGCTGGGCAATTAGACCCTTTGAACAACTCTTTTCCAAGGGTGGTTAGAAGAGTTGGGGAGAATAGGAGTCAAACTGAGCCTTCCAGGAAACTTTCCAGGGTGGCACACAGTTTGAATGCACAGAGGATGCTTGAAGCCAAAGCGTTCCACCGTTGTTCCGAGCAAACATCCAGACTAGAATTAAGTGTGATTGCCTTCACCTTGTTCGTGGCCTATAAGTCTGTCCCTTTTGGCTGTGAGCAGAGAACACCAGGAACGGATGTTGAAGAATAAAAGCGATTTGCATTTTCCATTGCTTGGAAGGTACAAATATTGTTTATTTTGCTCTCTGCGGAACTCACAGGTCTGCTTATTATCCCAGAAAGTCCCCTTGTTCTCATAGTGAATCTACCGCGAGGCCTGGAGGGTGGGCCAGAAGCTGCGGCCAGGACCCTGCCAGCCTCGGGGGCTTGGGTTCTGTGCCAGGCAGCAGCCTCCAGTCCTGCAGGGAGGCCAGGGGAGAAGGCTTGCGTGCCTCCCCTTCTCGAGGCAAGATTCCCGGCTCCTGCCCCACCCCTGATGTCGCCTCCTTGGCAGTGTGATGTCAGGCCTCGGGTGTTGCAGTAACATATCCTCCAACCACTAGATATTTTCACAGTTTTATTTACTATTATGTCCCATCATTTTTGTGCAGAAGGCAGCCGTATGTAAATTTTATTCCATTTTCTAATGGTTTGGGTTACATAACAAATAACAGCAGGAAGGAAAATTTGTATTGATACTTTACAGAGGAAGTTCTCAAGTCACTGCACAGAGATTTAACTGTGGTGCTCTAAGTTTATGGGAGTTTTGCAGCTGAGTTTCTGCACATGACTTTGAATATGTCACTATATGTTTATCATGGGCTAATTGTGGAACCACATTTCCATACTTTTTCTTCTCTCTTTCATGAGATTACACCAGCCAGTGATGGAGGCAAGACTCTACAAGGAAGAAATGATCAGTTTGGGATAATTTTCTTTCCTGTCCCAAAATAGCTGTATGTCTGCGTGTCTTAGGGATTCAGCCGAGACGCATTTTTTTCCATTTGTTGCTTGATATAATGCAAATGTGATTTCGATCCTGTAGCAAACTCTCCAGCTAGTCCATATTACAAATTAATCAGATTCAACAAACACCAACATTTTTAAACTTTTGCAAAAAAATACTTAATAGGAGCTAAGCAAAAGAAGAAATCAAACCAGCTGCTGACACAGCTGTTTCTTTTCTTGTTTAATTCAGTTCAATATAAAGGTACCATATGCTGCTTAAAATGATGATAGGAAAGATGAAATAATTTAAGAGAATAACAAGAAAATACATGAATTGTCAGCATTCTGTCAGATTTAAAGAATGAAATAGACAGGTGTAGTATTGACATGTTTAACTTTGTGTGGTGTTAGCAGTTTTGGTGCGAACAACTTCTGACATGTGCTGAAGTGATGTGAGAACGTTTCTCCTCCGCTGCAGACATTGGCGAGGAGGCTGGGAGATCGGCCGGCGTCCAGCAGCCCGCACTGCTTCGTGACAGGAGCCTAGGATCGGCCATGAAGGACTGCCCGTACTGCGGGAAAACCTTCCGGACATCCCATCACCTAAAGGTCCACCTGAGGATACACACAGGTGAGAAATCTGGGTGCACAGCTCGGAGGAGGAGGCCCAGGCTGCCACGCTCCTGTCCCAGGTCTCGCCTCTGTGGGCCAGTCTGTGCACCACTGCCTGGGTCTGAACCGACCCTCCCGACCTAGTTCCCTGCCCCACACTCACCCTCCTGAATGTTACACGGCGTGCGGACGTGAGTCTCCCATGGTCCAGGGTTGGGGTGATTGTGCTTTGTCCGAAGCCCCGAAACGTTTTGCTTATGGTGTCCTTCTGCTGCACTGAAGTCGCACCTCCTACATCCTCGTATGGACCAGGGGTCTTTCAGGTGCAGATGACGAGAACCCAGCTCAGACTGTAAATATACAGGTCACGTGGGAGGTCTTTGAAGGCAGGCTGGCTTCCGGCCCCGTTGGGGTTATGTGCCCACACCTGGGACTTGGACAGATGGCGAGGGGAATGGGTAGCTCCCCACTGCATCTCCTCGAAAGACAGACTGAGATGCTCTTAACCAAGCCTCTGGGCTGCTGTCATCTCCCGTGTGTTGGCAGTGCCTGAGCCCCTCACAGTGACGGCTTCTCTTGGTCTCTCTGCCTCGAGCCTCGGTCATGGTTCTTGTTAGCTTTTCTGCTAGTTGTTTGCACATTGCCAATACAAAAAAAAAAAAAATCTATCTGAGATATGGACACCTCCATTTTCTTTGATTTTTCTCCCGACACATTATCTATTGGAGTATGAGCTGCTTCAGAGGATAGACAAATATGCCATCTATTTTCAAAAATAATTGTGGTCTGTTTCCCAAGGAATCAATAAAGCTCAGGGTTGTGCACGATATTTAGTGCATACAGGCCTCATGTTCAGTGTACTGTGGAAGACAGGGAACCCTCACCTGGACCCTCACCCATGTGCACAGGTCTCCCTGCCACCCAGCGTCCTGAGGACAGGTGGTCATGGACAGGTGGTCATGGGCAGTGGGTATGGGCTGCCATCTTTCTATGCAGCCTGGGTACAGTTGGCGTCACCACTGTCCCTCCCTGTCCTCTAGCTCTTCTCTCGTGGGGTCACCCCAAGGCAAGAGAAGACTCCTAACATGCACGGACTCTGCAGCAGGCTCTCTCACCCCCTGGGGTCCATGGGATCCGACCATCTTGACCTTCATCACCTCCCTGTGACCCCACTGCAGTCTTCCTGTTCCTCCTGTGCAAGAGGCCTTGCTTCTGCCTCAGGACCTCTGTACCTACTGCCCCCTCCCCCTGGACGGATCTCCCTCCAAGTGTCACTGGGGGCTTAGCTTCACATGATCTCTCCAGAGGGACCGTTCCTAACTACTCTGCCTGAAATATCCCTTGTGCCTCTGCAGTATTTTCTTCATAGAGTTGGCACCTTGTGAAATTATCTTGTTCAGTTCAGTTCATTTCCTTATGTGTTGTTTATCTTCCACCAAGTAGAATGTGAGGGTGGTAATGTTGTCCACCTTTTTAACTGCTATAGAACCCCAGGCCTGCAAGAGTACCTTGCAGTAAACTATAGCTTAGCAGAGGCACAGTACATTTATTTGAGAGGTTGAATGACAGACCAAGTAAGTGAGTTACCCTTCTCCTGCAGTACCAGCTCTATGCTGGGTAGCATGGAGTGGGTGAGTGCAGTGGGGAACCTGGACTCTTCCCTGGGAAACTGTGGTCCTTCTAGAAAGAAGCCCTGCACACACGAGCTGGTCAGAAGCTACCATGTGGCAGCCACCCTGCAGGTGCTAGATTCGTGGTTGTGGATGGAGCTCAGGGATGGGTCCCTGAGTTCCTGCCTCAGGGCCTTTGCACTTCTCTGTAAGATAGGTCACCCACTGGCTTGTGCCCTCACCTTCAGAGTGGCACCCATGTCCCCTTCTCAGCGAACTCATCCCAGCGAAAGGGCTCAGGACAGGACATCTTTCCCAACCACACCGATGTCCACTTTCCTTCTCAGGTTGTATCCAGGGCCCCCAGTGTTGTGGCTGGGGGACCCACAGACTGCCAGGCTGTGGGAGACAGTCCACCAGGGCACCCACCGTACTGCTGTCTACAGGGGTGTAGAGACCTGTCCAGGCAGGTGTGGTGGTTCTGCCCTTTCTCGTGAGGTAGATACAAGCTCTGGGGCCAGGTTTCCCAGGCAGGTGATGGTTCACCACAGGTGAGACTGGCCTTGCCAGGGTTAGTGTGGGTCAGGAAGGAAAGAGGCAGGGTCTTCCAACTGGGAGCTCTGCCGACCCAGGGACCACCTCCCCCCCCCCCACCCTCTGCTGGACTGTGGTTTATGTGGAAATGCCAGAGCATATTCCTGGTAAGTTAGGACTGAAGCCAGCAGAAAGAAGTCTTGCTGAACCTGAGTAGAAACAAATGGATACTGCTTTTGAAAGTTTTAAAGTTTGAGGAAGACTGTATTTGTCCAAACTTCTGCTTCTTTTGCTTCGTAAACTTCTGAAGTTTGTGACCAACAGTCTTTGGTGATGTTGAGACAAGCGACATAGGGCCATGGACCGAGGCATTCTGGAAACTTCCCAGAATAAGGTTGAAAATGAACGAAGTCATGGAAACATCACACCAGCCCTCCTTGGAAGCAGAATTTGCAGGGTTTGAAAGGCAGAATGGTAACCAGATAAAGATCAATTTCCTTTTTTATCAAAGAACAAAGAAGTTGGAAAATGCTTACAGTTGTGCTTTTGAACAGAACAGAAAGTGTTACATGTTATAAATCACCAAAGTAAACATCCATTATGACAATGTAAAAGCATAGATTATGTGAGCAATTAAAAATCAAAATCAAGTGGTTTGTTAATGAATGAGTTAATAGGGGCCCCACTTGTGGCGATGTCTTGGACTGCCTTCCCCTTTCTTTTTGTGGTTTTGTGTTTCCAGATGACATGGTCAGAGGACAGCAGTTTCCAAAATAGAACAGTTGTTTTCCAAAATGCCATCTTTTGAAGTTTTTCCTATAATGAACCCATATGAGCATATTAAAACTCTGATGTGTAATAAATATATTTTAATTGGTCAGGATATGAGGTGGTACATTCTCTGTATCTTTCTGTCCTACTCCACCTCTGTGGGAAGTTTTGATCGTATAACATCAACTGATAAAAAAAAACACACTTTCCTTTTTTAACTCTGCTACATTAACTCAATTACTGCTCTTCTTCTCCAACACCTGTCTATTAGAGAGGTTCTGAGCAGATGCACCAGTCAGATTGCTCTGAACACCTGGGGGCTGGGCAGAGCCTGCAGGGAGCTAGAACATTTCGGCTGCCGCCGAGCTCCAGCCAGATCTATGGGGACAAGAGAGGAGCACCCAGAGGACCCTCAGGTCCTAGGGCTGCCCCACTCTGGCTAATGCAGGGAAGTTGTTGATTGCTGATTCCACCGAGGGAAGGCAGAACTCCTCTCCTGTTTGAAAGTCTGGTTGGTTAGGACCAAATCACTAGATGTGTCTGATTTGTCTACTAGAGCACACTGCTGGTGACTGGAATTCAGAGCCAGACAGTAAAAAGACTGTGTCAGTTAGGGCTTTCCAGGGAAACAGTGAGTGTTTACACATCTATATACATATATATGTATCTATATATATATATCTATATAGACACATCTGTGTACATATGCATATATAGACATATCAATCTACATATGTACACATTTATATATATACCTATACACATCTATATACATCTATGCAATATACACACATATATACATATATATTCATGTGTCCATGCATGCTAAGTCACTTCAGTTGTGTCTGACTCTGCAACCATATGGACTGTAGCCCGCTAGGCTCCTCTGTCCATGAGATTCTCCAGGCAAGAATACTGGAGTGGGTTGGCATTGCCTCCTCCAGGGCATCTTTCTGACCCAGGGATTGACTGAACCCCAGGTCTCCTGCATTGCAGGCAAATTCTTTACTGCCTAAGCCACCAGGGAAGCACCTATATACATATATATATATATGTTTTATGGGAAGATTGAGGGCAGGAGGAGAAGGGAGTGACAGGATGAGATGGTTGGATGGCATCAGAGACTCAGTGGACAAGAGTTTGAACAAACTCTGGGAGATAATGAAGGAAAGGGAAGCCTGGCATGCTGCAGTCTATGGGGTCACAGAGAGTCAGACACGACTTAGCAACTGGACAACAAAAATACATATATATATATATATAGACATCAGTATACATGTGTCTGTGTGCTAAATGTGCATGCTCTGTCACTTCAGTCATGTCCAACTCGTAGCCCTCCAGGCTCCTCTGTCCATGGGGATTCTCCAGGCACAAATACTGGAGTGGGTTGCTGTGCCCTCCTCCAGGACATCTTCCTGACCTAGGGATTGAACCCGCATATCCTGTGACTCCTTCATTGGAGGCAGAGTCTTTACTGCTGAGCCAGTGGGGAAACCCTATATACATATATACACATCAATATACATGTACACACATATCTATATGTATCTGAAAGTGAAAGTGAAAGTTGCTCGGGCGTGTCTGAACTCTTTGCGACCCCATGGACTATACAGTCCGTGGAATTCTCCAGGCCAGAATACTGGAGTGAGTAGCCTTTCCTTTGTCCAGGGGATCTTCCCAACACAGGGATCGAACCCAGGTCTCCCACATTGCGGGCAGATTCTTTACTAGCTGAGCCACAAGGGAAGCCCCTATATATATCTATATATCTAAATATATAGATATATACATATCTATACATATATACACACACACATATATATATATATACACACACATCTATATACCTATACCTAGTATATATAGAAAGAGAGAAAGAGAGAGAGGTCTTTATTATAAGGAATTGGCTCACTCGATTATGGAGGCTGAGAAATCCCATGATCTGCAGCCAGCAGCTGGAGGCCCAGGACAGGGGATGGTATAAGTTCCTGTCTGAATCCAGAGGCCTGGGAAGCAAGAGGGCTGATGTTTAAGTCCTAGTCTGAGATGGAGTCCCAGGACAGGAGAAGACTAGCCTTCCAGCTCAAAGAGACAGCTCCCTGTT